TCAAAGCATTGTAGAAACAATTATCCTTTGAGCAATAAAAGATCTTCTTTTCCTTTTAATATTGTGCACTTTGATGTGTGGGGGTCTTACCACTTACCCTCCATGGGTGGCTACAAATATTTTATCTTGTTTATTGATGATTTTTCTCGGTTCATTTGGATGTTCCTGCTGAAATCCCGTGATGAAGTTCCAAGGCTTGTAAGACAATTCCATGAGTTTGTTCTAACTCAATTTAATACCAGGATTAAAATTTTCATATCTGACAATGCAAAAGAATATTTTGAGAAGAACCTATCCTGCTMTCTCTCTGACATGGGGGTTATTCATCAAAGCTCCTGTGTTAGGACCCCAGAACAGAATGGAGTTGCTGARAGGAAAAATAGKCATATTGTTGAAGTTGCAAGAAGTATCTTATTTGCCTCACATGTTCCTACAAGGTTTTGAGGTGATGTTGTTCTTACTGCTACCTACCTTATAAACCGTATGCCATCTAGGGTTTTGGGGTTTAAGTCTCCCTTCAATCTCCTTCATCCGGACAAGGACTTTTTTCCTGTTCCTTTTCGTGTCTTTGGCTGCACCTGTTATGTATATGTCCCAAGTGTCCAAAGGCTAAATTTGAACCCAAAGCTCAAAAGTGTATCTTCCTTGGTTATTCCCCCACACAGAAGGGTTACTGTTGTTTTGATCCAAGGACTGGCACTCGGTATGTCTCAATGGATGTCACCTTTGATGAGCTTTCCCCCTTTCATGGTTCCTCTCCAGAAGGACATTGTCCACAGGGGGAGGATTTGTCACAAGTGTTTGCTCTTCCTCTTCCTATCCCAGTTGAGTCTTTTGATGTGCCTACTTCTCCTTCAAATGTATCAAGGGCGGATCAGTCGTTCCATTCTCCCTGCCCAGTACTCTTCAACCTCTACCTCCTCGTCCTATCCTCAATCCCATGGTGTATCAAAGGCAAAGATCCAGAAATGTGCACGTTGTTTCTCCTACAATACATGAGCCTCATACACTTCCAGTCACAGATGGGACAACAGGTACAGTTTCAGCCCCTTTGGGGCCATCCTTCCCTGATCTTGATATTCCCATTGCTGTTAAGAAAGGAAAACGGAAGTGCATTGCACATTGCATTTCCAAGCACCTTTCTTACAAATTGCTTTCACCTTCATACTTTGCCTATCTCTCTTCTGTTGCTTCTAACCCTATTCCCAGGTTTGTGTCAGAAGCTCTTAAGATTCCAGAATGAAGGGATGCTATGAGATCTGAAATCGATGCCCTACACAAGAATGACACATGGGAAGTGGTGGATTTGCCTGAAGGGAAGGATCTAGTCGGTTGCAAGTGGGTCTTTACTATCAAATATCGAGCTGATGGCACCATTGAAAGGTACAAGGCCAGGTTGGTTGCAAAAGGCTATACACAGACATATGGGATTGATTATTT